ACAATATATATATATACAGAGAGAGAGAGAGAGAACATGGAAAAAATTACTGTATTAATGAAATTTATTTACAAAAATATTTGGAAAAAAAAATAATAAATAAATAATTTTTTTTTTGTAAGAATTCGAAGGAAAAAAAAAAAGATATAATCTCTCATTATCAGCTCACACGATTATATCCCCCAAAAATAGGTGCTTTCTAATTTTATGTCAGTCTAGCCAAAGCAAAATATATCAATTGTGTGAAGAGCACTCAAATTTTTTTTTTAAATGAAATAGAATAGAACACATTAAGTAATAAATATCACGCAAAAAACAGAAAATAAAATGTAAAGAAAGAACAGAACGAAACATAAAACAAAATCTATAAAGTGAGTAGCGAATTCAAATTTACAAGAATGATTTAAAATATTTTCGTAATGAGATTGCCAGATTACAAAATATGAAAACAGAAACGCAAATTAAGGTAAAAGCCTAAATAGAAGGTTTTATTTTATAGCGCGTTCTTGCATTAGTACTGAAGCACGTTAGATTCGTTAGTTGCCAAGTATGGGCCAGAAAATGGATGTGCACAAGGTAGTATTATACAGGATATTTTAAAGAAGTTTTCAATTAATAAGGTTGATATTTAATTGTACTAATTTAATGATTTTAGAAAATTAGTTTTTATTTAAGGGAAAAAAGAGAGAGAGAGAGAGAGAGAAATATGAATTTCTCATTTCCCCCATAATTTTGATAACGTATTTGCCAGAAATGGATTTGCACATGGCAAAAATTATATAAATTAGCAATGAAGTTTTTAGTAAATTATTTACAATAATAAACAATTAACTCACTGATTTTAAACATAATTTAATTACTTTAGTTGGGTATCCATTGGTTTTTTTTTTTGTTTCTTTTTTGTATCAAATTTTGAAAGAGTTTGTCTATTTGCTTGTTGGAGAAATTAACATTACTATAGATTCTTTTAATTCCATTTATTTGATTAAAAATGGTATTTAAACAATTGTCTTTAGAAACATTAGAATTCCAAGTATTTAGTTTATTTATATTAAAATTAAAAACATTTCTTTTATTGTATAAATCAACCAAGCAGATATTTTCTGCTTTTATAACACCCACATTCAAAAAATTAAAATTAATAATATCATCATGATTACGAAGCAAGCTTAATTCCGCGGGTTTAATATTATTTAATTAAACTGTGTAATTTGAAAATTAAAGATAATTAAATCATCAATAAATCTAAAAGCCAATTTAATATTAAGAGTATAATATTTTTATAATAGTGCAAAAATAAGTTAACTAAGAGAGATGAAAAATTAGGTTCTTGTGGTATTCCTTCAATTTGATGAAAAATATCTTTTCCATTGAAAAGATAATTATTAAAAGGACAAATATTAATTAGAACTTCCCAATAATCAAAATAGGATATTTGGACAATAATAGGACAATCAATCAAGGATATTTTTGAAATCATAGTAATAATTCTAAAGGACATCTTTTAGTTTAGAAATTGGAATGCTGTTGAAAAGATCCTGGAAATCAAAAGTTTGGAATAGAATTAATTTTATTATGCTTAATAAAAAGACTATATCATTTCATTATTTTCCTTTCCGAATTTTCAATTTGTAATAATATTTTTAATATTTTANTGTAATCTCTTTGCTCCGGGCCATTTAAATGCAATGATAGATTTTCGGTGCCAAACTTGAAAGAAAAAAGCAACTTCTTAAATGATTGCGGCCAATAAATATTATAAATTCGTTTGATGAGACCAAAATATCAACTGGGTTTTTGGCGTCTTCAAGTTGACCCCCCTGTGGCTGACGATAGGCTTCACGTGGACCCCCGGACGCTTTAAAATCTCGCTAAACAATACAGTTGTTCGCATCTGAAGAATAGACGAAATGAGTGAAGATATTGAAAAACAACTTGTTGAAAAGCTGAAAACAAGAAAATTCTCAGTGCAAATGGATGAATCAAGTGATGCAGATCAAGGAGTTCCGAAATAGTAAGTGCGCCAAAAACATCGATAAAGTGAGCCAAAGGGTAAGTTTGGCGAAGTTCCCTCTTGCTGTAGGGGTTGTACCCAATTAGGAATCAGTAGAAGTGTTGCCTAGCTGAGGGATGGTGACCAGATTATGAGATGACGCCCTGGTGAGTGATTCTAGATTCTTTCCTCCTTTTGTATTACTTAATGTTATGGTATCAATATGTAATCAAGAATATTTTAATCATTAAATTTAACTTTAAATATGTGTATTAGATTTTTAACTCAAATTAACATGATACATACTAAAGTGATATCAATAGTCGTATCACAAGTTTGATAGACAGTGTATGGATAGACAGTATTGATAACTTTAGTAAGATATATTGATAAAAGACATTTTGATGAAGAAATGTTGTTCTGTAAGAGATTAGAAAGCACAACTACCTCCAAAGATATAAGGTAAAAAACTACTTAGATGTCAATAATATACCAATAAAAAATATAACATCTTGTGCTGCAGATGGTGCTCCTAATATGATGGGCAAGAAAAATTGTTGCTTAAAATCGATGAAAGATGAGAATCCAGAAATGATTCTTGTGCATTGCGTTATTCATAGGGAAAACTTGGTAGCTAAAAACATCTCGCCTGTTCTAAATGAAGTACTACATTCAGTAATAAAATGTATCAATGCTATTAAAGCTAATGCCAAATGTGAGCGTCTCTTCAAGCTATTTTGAGAAGAGCGAAAGGCAGACCATGTGAGACTTATACTTCACACTGAAGTAAGATGGCTCTCTAAAGGGAACTGCTTGAGAAGATTTGTGGAACTGTTTGATACTCTTAGTGATTTTTTAAGCGACTAATCTGAAATGAAGTATCTGTTAACAGTCGATGGTAAAGCATTTGTGAGTTATTTAGCCGATATCTTTGAAAAACTAAATATATTAAATAAGCGATTTAAAGGAACAAATAAAACTCTTGTTGATGCAAAAGCGAAGATAATTGGTTTTATTACCCTTATTGAGTTATGTCAGAAATATATTATCGACAAAAACTTTGAACTCATTGGCTCCAAAAATGTGAAGTAAATGATACCGCTTTACTTGTTATTGTCATCTGAAAATTCTACCGACTAATTTAAAAGAAAGATTTTCTGATTTAAAACAAATTGATTTTCCAACATGGATGATGCTGCCAATGTTAGTGGATTTGTCTGATATATCAAATATGCAGTATCAAGAATAACTCGCAGAAATGCAAAATTATGAGCCAGTTAAAACTTTGTTTCATATAAAAGGAGTGACGGCATGGCTTTGCGAGGAAACAGAAATCAAATACCCAAATTCAACCAAATGTGCAAGGAAACTATTGTTACCGCTTCCATCTTCATATTTAGCTGAATGTGGATTTAGTGCTGTAAATGATTCACTGGTAAAAAAAGAAATCGTCTGGATATAACACAACGGGGAGACTTGAGACTGAAGCTAACCAAATTGGAACCTAACATAAAATCTCTGTTCAGCAAATATGGAGCGCAAGGATCTAACGAAATTAAAATATTAAATTATTATGGAAAAATCTTCATTAACATTATTTCGAATTTGAATTTTTCATTACATGTTTTCAAAATTTACTTACTGTGTTTCGTTAACAATTTACTTACTGTGTTTCGTTAACAATTTCCTAGTGATTTCTTCCTAAAACCTATCATATAAGCTTCTTAAGTGAATAATTCAATTTTTTAATATTAAAAATTATGTATATTAACATATACATAATTTGAGGGGCATAAGAATTTTAGAAAGGCTTAGGTGGGGCATGGCACGAAAAAGTTGGAGACACTGGACTGGAAGTATTCGTCCAACCAAATCAGCCTTGTGTGGACGGGCATTATCGTCCATAAAGATGAAATTTGATGCATGTGCTTCGACGAAAAATCTCACATATTGTGCAACGGTCTCGTCCTTGAACCGCTGATTGGTTTAACAACGATTATAAAACGTTTGGTACAGTTATTAAGTATGAAAAATGTAAAATTTGTTAATTGAATTGTGATAAAAAGGTTTTAATGTCTACTTTCATTGTTTAGGTAGCAAAGGCCTATAAAAGCGAGACGTTTAATAGACGTTTGTTTCGGTCGGACCCGGCCCTAAGTAATCCTATGTATAGTGGTCTTGGATTAAAGTTCTTCTGGCTTGGGCAGACTCGGATATCCAAAAGCGTGCCCGTACTCCTTTCTGGTCACCAGAAGCTCCATCCTCCCACCTATATGTCCACATTATCCACGTTGAATCATTAGTTCGTTTAGTCTCAATATTGGTTAACTAAGAAAAAACAGATCAAATGTGATTAAAATATGTAATAAGCATATTTATTCGTAATGAAATATATTTTATTGTTAAAGACGATGATTAAAAATAGTCTTACGTTTCAATAAAAGCAAAAATTCGTTCTACCTGAAAAATAACAATTAATTTGTTCTTATTGCAAATTATTGAAGAATCTCCTGCAGTGTAACTCTGCATTAGAACAAAACGCATTTCCACACAAAAATCTATTCACCAAATTCACACAAAATTATACTAAAAATCATGAATAATACAATAATTTATTAAAAGAGAAGTAACTTCAGCACAAATTTATAGAATTCTGAATTCAAATTAAGACAGAACAAAAGTCACACAAAAATAATAGAATTATAGGTAGTCATAGTTATAAATCTATAGATAATTCACGAACAATCCAGCAACAGGACAATAATTTTAGCACAAAATACATAGAATTCAGAATGGAAATACAAGTTGTGTACAATTTAGCGCTTCTTGCAATATTTCACTGCTTTGATTTTAATCTGTTTTAAAAAATAGCAACTTTCATTTATTTTCCAACTTTTTTAGATTGATGTGTGTAAGTTTTGAAAAAAATAATCTCTCCTGTACTGAAACCCTGATAGAGCCAAACACATTTCACTCAAAAATCTATTCACTAAATTCACTCAAAATTATGCTAAAAATTCATGGATAATGCAGTAATTTATTAAAAGAGCAGTAACTTTAACACAAATTTACAGAATTCTGAAATCAATTAACATAAAACTAAAGTCACACAAAAATAATGGCGTTATAGATACTCATAGTTATAAATCTATAAATAATTCATGGACAATCTAGCAACAGGACAATAATTTTCACTCAAAAATCTGTTTTTTAATTTAACACAAGATTACGTTAATATAACAAATTAATGAACAATACAACAATTAGAAACAGGACCATAATTTTAAAGCAAATACTTAAAAAATCAGAACTTAATTAACACAATTCAAACAAAAGTGTAATAATTATAGACACTAATAGATATAAATTTGTAGACAATTCATGGCTAATCTAGAAATAATTTTACACAAAATACATAGAATTCTTGATCGAATCAACAAGTTGAGTTGCGTCCATCGTTTCTTGCAATATTTCATTGCTCTCTATCTGCTTTTCTTTCTGATCTTCAGGCAAAATAAACAGACGCAACCGCGTGCGATAAGCGGCCAAATCAGCATACGCGACAGGTACTGGTATGGATATGCTTTTGGAACAACGGAATGAAATGTTGCATAAATAATACGTTAACTTTTGAAGATCGTCAGCTGAAAATTCATTGTCATCTTCCAACACTGTATAATGAGCAGGTCTGCTGGTTCCTAGAAGAGATATAAAAACTATAACCAAGTTATAAAAAATGCAATAAACACAAGCATACAGAGTTCGCCGTAATCTCACTACTATGCAGTATATATTTTTTATAAATCTTTATCGGAAATTCGATACATATTAGGGACGTATGGTTTAAAATCCAAAACTTTAGAGTAAAACGACTCTTAAGTAGCAGCCATAGATTCGTCATACAAAGCCCCATAGGATCTACATATGGGGTTCTGACTATGGTAAAATTTTACCATGCACCTTTGCCATATGCCAATGGCAAAATTTTTCTATAGACCTATAGCGAACTTTTTGCAGCCATGGGGCTCACTTTTGTTATACAGCCGACAAGTTCTCGACTACTTTGTGGTTTTTTTTTCACTATACATCTATACCCAGATTATCCAAGTCTTTACTACGAAAATTAATCAGAAAACAATTAAGGTGATATGAATACATTGAAATAAAAATACAGTGGAAAGGATTTATAGTTTTGTTGGTTCTCTATTGTTTATTTATCCAAAATTAATCACAACATTAAAAATTGAACGCAATATTTAGGAAGGGCACAGAATTTGACATTAACGCAATCCACACAAAACTGCTGTAGCCGGGAGAGCTAATTTATTCCAGGATTCTTCTAAGACCATCTAGGTTCGAAACTAAGTTGATTAAAAAATCAACAAAAGATCGATAATTCAGAAAAACGTAGTCGAAACCTGGAGGATATTGGTTGATTAAGTTCAAGAAACTTAAAAATTGATTAAAACCTAGATATTAAATTCAGAAAAAAATTTAAATCCCTTTTGGCAGGATAATACTTTATTGAGATATCGGCATCGCGCTGGACTTGCATTCGGTGCCACGGCAATAGAAATTGCAAAAGTTGATATGCTATTTTTCGTTAAATAGATTGAAAAAAGTTTTAAATAACCATAATTTTCTTTAAGGGTGGGTGAACTTTATTGTTAAATACTTTTGTTTTTTGAAGGACTGGATTATTTTCTCGAAGGAAAATAATCCAGCTACAATTTAGTTATGTTGGGAATAACGAAGGAGGACTATTTTTAAATATCATACGTTTTAAATTCCATCGGGAATTTTTCCATATTTGGTGCTTTAAATGCTACATTTACTGTAAAAGACTTTTATAGTAATTCGGTGCATTTTCTCAGTATTATTTTTCCATTGCCCACCACCACATTTCGTCAATACAGGCATCAATCAGAGGGCCAGATTTGTTGACCACTCTTTCAGGGGCACCATATTAGGTGGGCCAACGTTGCTCCCACAGCAAGGACAGATAGTACAGAGAATGAAAGAACATCCATGCCTTGTCTGGGATTCGAACCCAGAACCTTTCTGATGCAAGGTTAGTTCCCTGACCCCTTCAGAGATCGATCAGCTTTTCTCAGTATAAATTATACAATTTAAAACATAGAATTTAAATTTGAAGTCAATTAGTGAAAATACTTTTGAGTTATGAATTCCATGGCGCACGCGCAGTATTTCCATGGCGCAGTATTTTTGGATTAAAATAAATCATTTTAGAACTTGATTTATTACCTTTCAATCCTAAGTGACTACAAAGATAGAAATCTCTGTGTACTGGGTGTACAATATCAGTATCCACAACTGTCCCTGGAGGTACATTTCCTTCTGGTCTGACTCCATCCCTGAAATCTTCTGGTCTAAACCGGACGTGATGCCGTTTTTGCACAATGACGAACGTAATAGCTGGTTGATAATCATTTTGCAACTCAATACATGCTCGTCGCACGGCCATTATTTCTTCTTCTTTGACTTTTTGAAAGTGACCGTCACTCACTCCATCTCTATAAAAAATTATTTTCTCTGGTTTTTTCCCCATCGTATGATTATAAAAGGCCTTTAACAATGCTTTCACCATGTCCTTTAACTCAAGAATAATTTCAACAGACTTCTTACTGGCCTTAGGATTTTTTTGAAGTTTACACACGACAGCAAAACGTGACAATTTCATGTCAAGACCCCCTGCGACGGCTGCTACAGATATCCCGCTTCTGTCAGTGACAGGAGCATGCGATACATCAGCACCTATTACAATCACTGGTTTCTCCATTATTTTGGGAATTTCTCCTTGCGTTAAAGTGTGATTAATGCCTCCCATTTTAGCATTGATTTTTTGACACAAATTGCTTAGCAATGAAGGATTGCATTTTAATACATTCTTATGATCGATGCACTGAGTCAAGAGGCCAAGCTCAACTTCAGCTATTTGTTTCACGTTCCTATATAAAATTTTGCTTTTATAGGGAATGACTACAACAATAAATTGGATCAGATTGCGTTGGACACCAATAAACTCCTTCTTAACATTCTTTAGTAGTTCCTGAATATCAGATCCTTGAATAATTTTCGTGTCAACAGGTCCGTTTATCACCAGACCAGCAGCATTACCGATTTTCTGCAATTGGTTTGAGAAGTATCCTAAATTTTCGTATTCGCAATCATCTTCAGAAGCGAGACTTAATAAAATCCAAGAAGCAATTTTGGATCCGATGTAGAATTTTAAATGCTTAATGTTCCAAGTTCCATTTTTTGGCTGTATTTTACCAGATTTGTAATTTAGATTCGGAGCTTCAATTACACGTCCAGGCAAATGTATGGGTTCATGTTCTACTTCAATTCCAAAGTTCTTCAAATATTCATCGTTATCGTAATTAGCCTGTTTATTCCTTAGGTCCAGTATTTGATTAAATTTCTTACTCGGAGGATCTGCTGTATATTTAATCATTTCTCGTTTATCATCATCTGTCAGCTCTTTTCGGCAGTGTTGTCCTTCAGGTATATGACATAGCTCAATTGGAATATAACTTCTTTTATCTTCTGGTTTGACTTGAACGCATGGTAAATGAGGATATTTCAATTCTTTTCTGTATTTTTTAAGGAAGTATTCGACAACTGTCACATTACTTGTTCCCATTTTGAATTTTAATTCCCTGGAGTTTTCTTTGACGATTCTGGCAATACGATACGTCATTTTAGGAACTGATCTTTGATGATACGTTTCGATTTTTACATTTTTTAACTCACTGCTCAATCGTTTTATGGTATTTTCATCCTTATTGATGAAACACGACAATGCCTGTTTATGACTTTTGAGAGACTTTGCAACATAGTCCATCAAAGATTGTTTTTGAAAAAACGTTGTAGCGCTTGTATTTAAGTTTATCATGAGATTCCATTGCCCCAAACGTGCACTTTGATGATAACCGAACCATATTTCTGTGCCTCCATTAAGAGGTTCCACTCCGTTAATATGAGGGTGGAAAAAGTTACGCCCTATTGGAGTGTATTTCAGCGCAGGCGAATGTCGAAATATTGTCTCAACAGCCATCACTGCTTCCTGAATGTCGTCAATGTCTCGCATTCTACCACTAAATAGCTCATGCAAAATTACCAATTTAATGGTGCAGTCGTTTGTTTTCATGCCATGACCATTTTTCTTTTCAACTGGTTTAATCTGGACTTTAAAAACCTTAACTTTTTTCGGATTCTTATTTTCGTTTTCAATGCTAATTATACCACTTTCATACGGAAATACTAGATGTAAAGGTGATGGAGTGTATAGATTGCTATTGCCATCGTAAACAGCATACGAATTTTGGAAATGAACATTGGTTTTCAACATTTGATCTATAATTTCCCGATTAATTCGAGTATTCATACAACTATATCTTTTACAATTTGGATCTTCTGGCTTGCTTGTATCTGGTGTAAGATTTATTATCTTTACATCGTAGTGATATATATTTCCATCAGGTAAAAGTGAAATAGAGAACAAATTAGAAATCAATTTTATCTTTCTTCCTAATTTACCGGGAGCCTGTTTTGCTGGAAGGCCAGCAGTAATTAACATCCTGTCAGTACAATCGATTTTGATATCTTCATCGCTTAAAGTATCAGAAAATATGGAATTAGATGCTTCAGCAAATGCACTAGGAATAGGGATATTTTCCAAGTTTTCGCTATCTGTAATTACATTTTTTCTGGGACTAGGCGCGGCTCTAGTTGAAACAGAAGACTGCCCATCGTTTCTGGCATTCGGCACACTAGGGACACCTAAAATATTAAATAATTTAAAAAAAAAAAAGTGAAATCGTATTGGTATACAACGCACGAAAGGACTTGTCTGACAATTATAGCCACGCTATTCTTTACCCGCTTTCGTGCCTGTTTGTTCTTATATGAATGACAAATCTTGAAAATTTTTTGACCACTTTTAAACCAATTGAATCCATCACAAGAGTGTGATGGATAACAGTACAAGTTCATTCAATTTCTGTCCGCTGTGAGTTGAACTGACGTTGCTCTTACCGTTATTCTTATTAATATTTTTTCAAATCAAACTTTTAAACATTTTAAACATTAACAAACTATTAAAGATAAAACTAAAATGAAGAAAATAATAAATAAAATAATTTTAAAATTCACGCTTTTTAGGTGAGTTAAAAAAAAGAGATGCTGCACGTCTGAGTAATGTGAAGGCATTCAGGTGTCAATGCTGGGGCTCTATCCTCAGTTGCAGCTCATCCAACGACAGGTCGAAGGGTACCAGCATGTCTGAGAAGCCTACGCACAATGTTGACCAAATTGCACACAATCATGTCGTTGGTCATGCCAAAATCGTGGCCCCATGGCTCACAGCAGGCTGCTACGGAAATAACTCTATTTCAAGGCGTCTCAAAATGGTTTCACCTTTCAAGTCGAATTGAAAAATGTGGTTTCTTAACAATCTTTTTTTTAATTGCATTATTATTTTCTCATGCATTCATTCTCATTTTCTCAAGTCTATAATTCCGTGTTCTTGGTTTGTTCTTTTACTCTACTAAAAAGTGAATATTAGGTTTTTTTTCTTGCTCCGTGTAGTTTTCTTTTTTGTTTTTTATACAATTAATAATTTTAAAAAAATTAAGTTGAGTTGTAAGAAAGTTTCTGCATTGAGAGTATGTTAAAAGAAATTCTTCCTAACATGTGCAATAAGTTGAGTTTCCTTAACTATCAAAAATAGTAAATAATTATAAAACACGTATATCAACGTGTCAAGACAAATGTCATGTATGCAATGTAACTATTGATAACTAGTAGTAATGTCACAGGCAATTTATTTCCCTCAAAAAGGAAATAGAAACGAATTAAATAAGCATGGAAATAAGGTGATACGCTGAGTGAATTTACGAAAAAATCTTCCAGCTTCTAAGACAACAATGCCAACTGGACAACGGAAATACTGGCGTAAAAGTATTTTAAAACTTGAGAGTGTAGAAAAGGTTTGTGACAGGGTTCTCAAATATGCTAATTAGTAAATATTAACTATTAATTAAATTTCAAAACTAGACACAGAAATATACTCTCTGCAAGTACACATACTTCTTCCCCCGACAGATTTAGATTTTTTACCATCAAGATGTAGGGATGAGGGGAAACCGTAATTTAGTAAATATGCTTCCAAAAGCTTAACGAACGGAGTTCGTTTGGTCATATTCTATAAAGAAAAATAACCGGTGATCGAAAACGACAGAATCTTTTTCGAAAGGAAGGTTCAGTTCTAATTAATTTTCTGAAAACGGGTGCAACGATGAATCGGTTAAAAACTTTTATGTATCCAAAATATATCTTTTCATGAAACATTTGTTCTACTACATTCATAATTTTTTGATATTTGTTAACTGCTTTTGTGGAAAATATGAATGTAGAGTTTATTTAACATTTAAGCAGGCATTTAGTCTCACACAAGGTTGCCAACTTTCTGCGCTTTTTGGGAAATTTTCTTCTTGTGGTAGCTAAGTTTATGTTTAAATGTATGATTCTTTGCTTAAATTGATTTAAAGTTATTTTCCACATCACTACATGTAAAGGATTCGAAAGTCTATATGAAACGCAATTTCGCTCCAGATCTCTCTCGTGCTGAGATTTTCAAAATATTGGCGAAATTTCAAAAACTTCAGAAAGCTTTAGTTTTTTATTGTCTACCACTCTATAAAATACATTGCAAAAATCGTAGTAGTTGGCAATCCTACTCGCAGTTCATATCTGTTGCTAATCATGCAAAATTACTTATTACATTTAAATTGAAAGAGAAATTACATTTAATTTGGAAGAGAAAAATATTTACCTTTTCGTTTTCCTTTTGGCATTTTGACGTCGTATCCTATGTGCTCACCTTCAAAAAATTAATTAAATAAATAATGATGAAACAAAATAAATAAATACATTAGTTAATTAATAAACGTCATACTTTCAATTGAAGAACTTGAGGAAATATTAAGATGAGCTACATTTTCAGATCTTTCAGAAGAACGGTTTAGGTTCTAAAAAACCGCTCAATTTCCATATACACTAGTACTCAAAAACATAAGGGGGCGCATGGATTCAACGAGATTACGCAAATATTTCTTCTGATAATTAAGTCAAAACAAAATATCCAGAATTTTAAGAATAGCAGGAAAAAAACTTTCTATGCAAATAAAAGTTCATGACGACAAAAACCAGAAAAATGATGTAAGTGCAGAAATCTTTATTTTGCAGAAGTTGCCGTCTTTCGTTATCTCAATGGTAGATTTTAACCTTTCGGCTTTGTTTTGAAGAACATTTGCTTAAAAATGTCTCGATAACGTGATCTTCCAGAACTCGTGGCTATGCGTATTATCAGGAGACAGGAATGCGGGCAGACACGAAGAAGTGTAGAGGACGTTGTTAAAGTGGCTAGAAGTGTCAATGACAGACTGGAATCCATTCTAAGAAGCAGGGCATGTTTGACGTCGTCCAGGACAAGATCGTCAATTTCCTACCACATCAAATAATGATCGATATCTCCAGTTAATAACTCGTTGAGACAGAATAGCCAACACCACACTAGTTAAAAGACAGTTTCTTTTGGCAACAGGACGAAGGATCTCAAACCAAACAATTCGAAAGAGGCTTCATGAGACTGGTCTATATGCACATAAGCCAACAGTGTGACCTTGACAGCCAGGCACCATGCTGTCCGAAGAAAGTGAACTATTGAACATCGAGATTGGATGCAAAGTGTTTGAATTCAAGTAATATTTATGCAATAGTTCCGATTCAGTTCAGTGTGTGACACCAGACGTGTATTGGTATGGTGGTGATTTGTTTGAGATTCGATGCAAAGTGTTTGGAGTCAAGTGCTGTTTACGGAAGAGTCCCGAATCAGTTCAGAATATGACACGAGACGTGTTTTGGCCAGGTCATGATTTTTTACGTGTTTGAGATTAGATGCAAAGTGTTTGGATTCAAGTAATGTTTACTCAATAGTTCCGATTCAGTTTAGTGTGTAACACCAGACGTGTATTGGTATGGTGGTGATTTGTTTGAGATTAGATGCAAAATGTTTGTAGTCAAGTGCTGTTTACGGAAGAGTCTCGATTCAGTTCAGAGTGTGACACCAGACGTGTACTGGTATGGCGGTGATTTGTTTGAGATTAGATGCAAAGTGTTTGGAGTCAAGTGCTGTTTACGGTAGAGTCCCGATTCAGTTCAGAGTGTGACACCAGACGTGTTTTGGTATGGTGAAAATGGTGCACTCAAAATAACCCTATGTTCATTCAGGAAAGATAACGTTGAAAACGAGATGGTTTGATCGTATGAGTTGGAATCAGATAGGTGGACGTTCTGACCTGCATTTCATTCGGAAAGGCAATTTGACGGCTCAGAGGCATATAGACGAAAGTCTGAAACGCCATGTCGTATTTTACACTGCAGTCATCGGTGATTTCTTTCTTTTAATACAGAATAATGTCAGACCTCATAAAGCTCGTATTGTGCAGAACTTTCTTGAAGCTGAAACATTACAACGCGTAGAGTGGCCAACACGTTCTCCTGATATCAATCCGATCGAGTCTTCTTAGGATGCACTTCAGCGATGCGTTGCTGAAATACTAAGTTGTTGCTCTCAAGTTGCTCTCTAGTTGCTCTCAAAGACATGGAGATCGCACTACCTCATAGAGGAACATTATTCAACTAAGTCTCATCGATAACCTCATCACATCCATGCAAAATAGGTATGCTGCAGTCTTAGCGATTCGGGGATCACACACCATAACAAACCTCCTGTATCATTTTCGCGCAATCAGTTTTTGTGTCTTTTACATGTTATTAAATTGAAACATCATTTTGGCTTGAAGCATCATGCTCTTTATACCATTCCGAAAAATTAAAGTTCCCATGCAATTGTTTTTTGTTTCTTTCTTCAAGTATTGCGTTTTGTTAAACCTGCATTCTCCATTTTGTGCCCACTAAGGACTATCAATCACGCTAAGTTTTCATAACTTTTATGCCCTTGCTCCCCTAATCGTTTTGAGCAGTTATAGGTCATTTTATAATGCTAAGTAACAGTTTGATACCAAAATCTTCGGAAAAAGTTTTAACTTCAAGTTATTCAATTAAACAAACTTACTATTTTATGCAGATATTTTAATTTCACGAATATCAAGCAACTGAACATTCACAAGCATGAACACTTTACTTATTGTGTTGGCTATAAAAATTTGAAACTGACTGAGCTATATGAAAGGTTAAAAGTGAGCAGTTCGGAGAAACAAACAAAGTGTTTGTTTTAATGCTGCTTAATAATTTACGTAGGTACCGTAAGATTTTAGAGCTTTATATTGATTTTAATGATGCTTTTAATTTAACACAAGATATAGAGATATTTTTAACCACGGAGATTAACCAAAAATAAGTTGCATTCAATTTTGTCTTTTTCTTTCTTTTACATTTTAAAATTAGAGATATACTACAAGATTCAATTAATTTAAAATTTAAATTAAAAAACTCAAAGACTTTATAGTATTCGAATATATTCGTTTTTTTTTAGAAATAAAAATGTTTATAGAGATCTAAGAAATAAAAATATTAAATAAAAGCAAACAAAAAATGTGACAATGAGAAAGAAAGAAAATTACCTTCTAGCTTTTAGATTACTGGCTATGTATTCTTTTCTTTGGATTATCTTTCTTCGGATTATTTTCTTAATTACTCTTTCTTTCGAATTTCGACGTTTGCAGGCATTGTTCGGGGAATTCACCAATAAATTCATTTAATAGTCTCAATATCATAAATTTATCTTTTTTTTATTTAATATTGTCGTGATTGCTACTGAAACCAGACTTGACTAGTGTCAATATTGCATCGAATAACTGCAATATTTGGTATCAGTACAGCTGTCACCAAGACTAAAAATGAATACTAAAGTGGTTTTTGTTTCGGTTGTCTTGTTTTATAAAAAAAAGTTTGATTTTTTTTTTTTTTTTGAATAGCTGAAGTTATTGAAATAAAAATGACTTTTTAAATTGTAAAGTTATACGAAGTGAATAGATTAAAATTTATAGTTTATAAAAAGTCAAGTCAGATAAATATGTCGCACAGTTAGAATGGTTTTGTTTCGGATGAAGATGGATAATTGTTTAATTTGGACGAATGCTTGCTTACCACAATGATTGCTTAGTTTCATAAAAGAAAGGTTTGAATAGAAACGGCTGTAAAGTCTTAAGTTATAAAAAGTGAATATATTAAAATTTATTGTTTTAAAATAATGCCAACACAGGCAAATGTGTTGTACAGTTAAAATGGTTTATTCCGGTTGGAGATGGATGATTGCTTAGTTTGGATTGACGATTGCTTGCCTGTATAATTGCTTAGTTTTATTAAAGAAATGTTTTTTAAAAAAGAAAACGGCTGTAAAGTTCCAAGTTCTAAGAAGTGAATATATTTAAATTTTTAATTCGAAAAAAAGGTCGTCTCAGGCAAATATGTCGTACAGTTAAAATGGTTTATTCCGGTTGGAGATGGACGATTACTTAGTTTGGATTGACGATTGCTTGCCTGGATGATTGCTTAGTTTTATTAAAGAAATGTTTTTTTTTTTAAAAACGACTGTAAAGTTCCAAGTTCTTAGAAGTGAATATATTTAAATTTTTAATTCGAAAAAAAGGTCAACTCAGGCAAATATGTCGTACAGTTAAAATGGTTTGGTCCGGGGGAAGATGGATGATTGTTTGGTTTTATAAGAGAAATATTTGAATAAAAACGACTGTAAAGTTATAAGAAGTTAATCTATTTAAATTTATAGTTTTAAAAAAGGTCACTTTAGACAAATATGTAGCACATTTAATTTGCTTTGAAAATTGATTTCAGTTTTAGTTCATATTCATTTTATTACGTTATTTTGCACAGAACTGTTTTCTTTTTGTAAAATGAAAACATATAATGCGTGTTTCATACGCACTCCAAATATTTAAAAAATATTAACTATTGTTTATGTAAAATATTGTATTTTATTGTGTTTGTAGCTATCAGAATACTTGAATTATCCTAAGAAACTGGTTTAGATTATAGCGGATTTGAAATTCTAATTTTGAAGTGAAAACTAACTCCAAGGAAATTAATTTCTACTTAAAAAGGTGATACAGGTTTTAAATTTTTTTCTGGTGCACACGTATTGTATTAAAAAAACATTTGTGCTGCCATCATTATTTTTAAATTAACCGTGAAATGCTATAGATATAGGGCTAATATATTTCTCCACAAAATTTCCAAAGATTTGAAATATATCTAATAGTATTTGGTTTCAGATTAATTATATTTCATGAAGAAAAAAAACATTAAAGTGCAAAAAAAAACTCAAAATACTTTTTCAGAAATTATAGCTCAGTAGATCATTTTGTTAATTTTAATGTCAGAAAAGGTTAAAATTTTAAATTATGACTAATTTCGTATGACCCAAGCTCTGACTAAATGAAAAGAAAAATGTAAAAAGACATACACTGTTAGAATTTCCATTCTGAAATTACTGGAAAATAACTGGCAGCAGTTTATCCATCTAATTAACCGTAAAGTTTATCATGTGGAGCATTTCTTCAATTTTATGGTTTTGAAACCGTTTACAACTGGTGCAGTTGAAAAACAAAGAATACAAAACTATACGGATTTGTAACTATTTATAATTAGCATTGTTTCTAAATCATTCAAATAATATTTAAAGCTCCGTTTGTGCTGCGCTATTTATACGTGAATGATAGTTTCATATTCTAAGTGCAGGGCACTAGACACATTTCATGTATTGATAAGATTAGAAGAAATATTGCAGTATCAACGCTGGGATTCGAACTCCTGTTCAGCCTGCCATGAGATTGACCGATTAGCCCTCTCACCTTCTGTATGTACCCAGCGGCATAGAACAAAATGGCTTCATTGTAGGCCTAGTTGGTTCGGATAAGTATTCTAGTCGTTAAGCCATAGTAGGTAAAAACAATCAATGAACGTTTTTTCTCACATTTAACAATTTGAATAACATCTTTTTTTATGGTATTTGACCGTTTTTGCAGAATATGGTAAAATAACAATGAAATAAATTGCTATTTGACCATTTTTACAAAGAAATTTCTAACAGTACAATTAGAAAAACAAATTTTGGTAATTATGGAAAAGAATAGGATTCTAACATGTTTTTTTTAAAAAATCGATTCAACCATTTAACATGGTTTAATTCCCTATATCAGTTGGCCACTTTAACATGTGTTTGATAGAAGCATAGTTTAACATAGCAATATTTAAAAAATGCTAAATATAAAATATTTTTCGTACGCGTACACGATATTTTTTTTACCATCCTTAATATATAATTTTAGAATTCTTGTCAAAAGTAAAATAAAAAAAAAAGTGATTGAAAATTAATTTTAAGTGTGAAAGAAAGAAAAACACTATAAAAATTAAATGAATCTCTGAGGCTTTTATACCTCAAGAAATAATAACCCAACAATTTGAGCTTTGAATTATCACATTTCAAAATTTTTCAGTTTCCTCCTGCTATCAAAAAGGTTTTGATGCTTTAAATCCCGCCTTTCTCGCTAGTGATTCCTTAGATTTCGATACTGCATTTCCTCTAATTAATATTTGTTTGCAAACGGTCTGCGATGCCTACTTTTTTTTGCTTCGTTGATTAACAGGATTTTAAAAATATATATGGTTGGCAGACATTGCGAAAAAAACCTTAATTTATTTCCTATTTTAATTTCGTATAAAAAGTCATTGCTAAAATATTCAAAAAGAAATTTTAACTTGAGTGTAAGTAAACTTTTTCAAGTACTTAGTGTAAGTAAACTTTTTCAAGTACTAAGTAAACTTTTTCAAGTACTAGTAAATTAGTCAAGTAAATAGTAATAATTAGTCATGTAATAATTAGTCATATCATTAGTCATGTAATTATCAAGTAATAATTAGTCATTTCAAGTCAAGTAAATTATATCACTGCCAGAGAGAGCGATAGCTTAAAAAACCTTATAAAATTTTGCCAGTAAAAATTTATTAATTGATACAACTTGTTGTTCTTGTTTTATAACTATTTCTTTGAATTCAATATACAATTTAAATTAGAATCAATTTCTAAAGGAGCCTTTTATCAACTTTACTATGGTTTGCCTGTAAGAGTTTTATAAATTATTGTGTACATGTTTTTGTTTCATAACTATTTCTTTGAATTTAATATACAATTTAAATTAGAATCAATTTCTAAAGGAGCCTTTTGTCAACTTTACTATGGTTTGCCAGTAAGAGTTTTATAAATTATTGTGTACATGTTTTTGATTTATAACTATTTTTAAGAATTTAATATACAATTTAAATTAGAATCGGTTTCTAAAGGAAAATTTTAATAACTTTATAGTGGCATTACATACTAGAATTTGATTAATTGCTTATTAATAAAACGCATATTTTGTTTTGTAACTATTTTTGTAAATTTAAAAATGCAATTTATAAGTTCAAATAGATTTTTAAAAGAGCTTTTTATCATCTTTATCATGGTTATGCCTGAAAATTTTTTATTAATTGCCTCACATTATACTGTTTTGTTTTATATCTAAATTAGTATCAACATCTAAAGAAACCTTTGATCAACTTTATTGTTGTTTTGCCTGTATGAGTATAAATTGCTACATATTATGCATATGTTTTTGTCTTATAACTACAAAAATTTAATATGCAATTTAAATTAGAATCAATTTCTAAAAGAACCTTTCATCAACTTTATGATGGTTTTGAGTACTAGAATTTTATTAATTGCTTATGTATAAAACGCGTATTTTTGTTTCATAACTATTTATTAAATTTCAAAATGCGATTTAAGCTAGTATAAATTTTTTAAAAGGTCCTGTCTTCAACTTTATTGCAGTTTTGCTTCTAAAATTTTATTAATTGCCACATATTATACACACGTTTTTAGTTTATATAAGTTTATTACTATTCAAAATGCAATTTAAATTAGGATTAATTTAAATTGAAGGGTTAAGCAAAGACAAAACTTAAACACATACACTAAATATTTCCTGAAAATATAAAAATTTGTAAAATTAACTACTTACTTCAAAAAGAAAAATTAATAGAACTAGAAAGAGAATTCACAATCTATAGTTAAAAAAGTAATAGCTTTTTTAAGCTGATTATGCACATTGATAAATACTTCGTGATTAATTTCCTATTCTTCTTAAAAGTTTCCGTTCGGTTATCAAAGATTTAATGAGATTTGGATTGTTTTCTTTCAAAACCTAAACTACAATTATCGTAATTTTTTAATGAATGATTCTTCTGTTCTTTTTGTTTCGCAATATTATTTCATTTGAGTTTCAGTTTATGCAATAGATGATTTTAACTCGAAAAAAATCATAGTAAATTCTATTTTTTTTTCAGACTTATTTTTCTATCTACTTGACAAAATTTTTAATTTATAAATGAAAATTTTTCTTTGTAACACCCAAGTATTAATGTGATAAAGAATTTTATCTGCAAAGATATAGTAGCTCCGTTTTTTTTTCTATTTGATTTATCTTATAATTTTTTACAGGGTGCCCCAGAATTATTGGGACCGACTTTAAGGGGGGGGGGGTCAAGGACATCACAAGGATTCAGATTTGCATAGCAACCCATGGTCGGAAATGTCTCGGGAAAGTAGTATGACAGATATAAGAAACACAAGACTGTGATCATCTGAAATATCTATTGGTCAAATGTATTACATGTGCTGAGATCGATGATAAGTGAAAATGTTACAAAAGATTACAACATTACTAGCGATGCATGTGTTACATCGTCGGGAAAACGATTGATGCACTCTCCCAAATATACCGCGATTTTGTTCGATATCCGCAGCATCTCAGACGATTCAATCAACTCTATCCATTTCGGAATCCACAGGTGTTCTGTACTCAGCATTTCTCAGTGCACCATAAAGAAAAAAAAATCTATGCTGTTTAAATCAGGAGTTCGTGGTGGCCAGGGAACTGGTTCACCAAGCCCAATCCATCTTGTGAACAATACCATCTAGTAGCGAACGAAGACGTTTCCGATCATGGGTTGCAATGCAAACCTGAATCTTTTTAGTGTCTCCTACCTCGACTTAAAATTTGTCCCAATAATTTTGGGACACCCTGTGTCTATTAAGTTTACGTTTCTAACTTACGATCAAAACTTTTCCGGGTAATAACCGAATAATAGTTCATCGGTGAGATTTTTATTTTAAATATTGCTCAAAACGCGCGTTTGAAAAAATTTACGTAGCTTTAAATGCCTTTTTAAGAGAATGGATGCAGATTAAAGAACGTGTTTGAGAAAATTGGCATAGCTCGAAATGAGTATTTAAGCAAAATTATCTAATATACGTTCTTTAGAACATGGATATAGCCCGAAATACACATTTAAAGAAGGTTACACAGCTCAGAAAAGCTTATTTTTGGAAATGAACTGGACTTGGAAATGAACTATTTGAACATATGTGGGGAAAGTAGTTACAGACCATGTCAACCGTCATCTATGAAAAGGTACCCCGACATAGAGTCGAGTTAACATGTCTTATATACTAGTGAAATGTAGTTGTAATTTTGTAGTGGTAGATACGCTACAGTACTCCCCCACCAGAATTATATCTGTGATAGAATTCGATGAATGAATACCAATAGTTGAATCATTGCTGTTTTTGTGCGGTTGAGTCGGGAGAGTTGTATTAGGATCACCGTACTTTTTGAGTGCTGAATGTGAGAGGTGTATTAACTTTACGGTCGTAGTCGCGCCTGTGTTGCCTTTAGCAGTCGAGTGTATGCAGGCCGACGTTGTGTGCTCGAGACTGAGTAGCAACTGCGTGAGGAGGTGGTTAATGATGCAGTCACAAGTAGCAAGTCAACTGTTCAATGTGGACCATCCATCGAAGTAGGCGTTACTGCCGATGTAGGCGTATCCAGAACAAAGTGGGCGTTTTTGACAAGGTAGGCGTGTTCACATCACGTCCGGATCACCAATGTGGAGCTTAGTAGTTACAGACCATGTCAACCGTCATCTATGAAAAGGTAGCCCGACATAGAGCCGAGTCCTAGTCCTAGTGTTTTGAATTTATTGGGCACCTGGGCCGCGAAGCGTCCCCTATCCCATTCATCTGGAATTTTATAACAGTTTTTGTTGAGCAATGATGTGAGCAGGCAATGGAGTTGCTTTTATGAATGTTTCAAGCTCTTTGCTTGAATAACTAAACCATCACTGAGACTTCATTGAGCAGCTTGCTCTAAACTGTGTTTGTTTGATTTTGGAGTTGTTCAGAATTGTATCAGCATGAGTAAACGTTATTTTCAGAAAAGTTGATGAAATTATTTGTTTTGATAGTTATGATATGAGGCGTCGGAGGTGAAATGTGCAGCTATTGGTCTGTAGTTTTTATCTTTGATATAATTTTCAAATTTAAAGATTTCATTAAAATTTGCTGTTTTACATTCTATGGCTTTATCGAAAAAATCTGCATTTAGCTTGTATATATGCTGTGATAGAGTTGGTATTTTGAGATCTGCATGTATATTGGTATTCCGGATGAACCATCTTGCACAGGTTATTTTTCTAAGGATCTTGTTTTGGCATTGGTTTAATTTCTTCAGTAGATGTTGAGGTATCGTTGTCCAGGCAGGTGAGGCATAGGTAAGTATTGGGCGGATCATTGCTGTATA